GGTGATACAAAAAGGGTTGAAAGATAGATAAATGGAGTAAATAAAAAATAATGAAATAGCTGACTGACATATAGGGAGCTTAAAGTCATGACAGAGCTTTGAAGATTAACAGAAAGGGACACTGATTTTTTTTCCCCATTTAGCATTGCTTATCTTTTTGTACAGAGAAGGTGAAAATGTACTAGATTTGCAAAGAAATCAAAAGGAGAGTGCATGATACAACATTTTGTCTCCTCATGCAAATGGAAACTACGATGCATGACACTTTGAGACAAAGCCACAAGTGAGATGAAAAATCACTGCACCACACAGATGTGAAAATGGATGAAAATGTGTTTACAGACAGACTGTACTGATTCATTAAATCACAAAGGTCATCTACCTGTGCTAGCCAGGCTATTACCAAAATTGAAAACAGTGCCAGTGGTGGTTGCTGTACCAAAGCACCCCACATTAACGCTGACTGCTGCTGGGTTGGCATTTAAACCAAACCCCCCAAAACTAAACCCACCAGCCGTGGTGTTTCCAGCTCCCAGCCCCCCAAATCCTGCAGCCAGCGGAGGCAGGCAGCGAGAAAGAGAGAATGACATGAAGGAGTTAAAAGGACAAAAGGTCAGGCCTCGTATGGGACTACATATATTGTAAACACAGTCTTCAGGTATCTTAAAACCATGGCTTTGTTTATAACACCTGTATCTTACCAGTGTTGGTGGAGCCAAAACTGAATCCTGTGGCTGGTGCAGCAGCAGCGGTGGGGGCTGCCCCAAAACCAGGAGCTGTAAGAGCTAAAAGAAAAAAGCAGACACAAGAACGGCAGTGAGTTAAACTGGCAGACAGAGGTTTGGATATAACCAGGGCTGTGTGATAACTACCAATAGTTATCACAAGAAGAGATCATTTTCTCTGTTTTCATATCGATGTTGTTTGATCATAATGATTCCAAATCCACATGTTGCTAAACGACATGCCACGATTACGGAGTGATTTTTTATAGAAAGATGGAAAGGACTAAAAGGGAGTTTAAATTAAATAATGTACTGCATTTCATTTTGAGATACATAAATTGGATGTAATTAAATATTTCCTTATGTATTTTAGACTGGCAATGTGTACCTACCTATGTAAGGTGAACTTATAAATAACCCATGTTTATTTTACATTTTGATATGCTTGTTATTTGCATTGGTTACTGTTTTTATTATATGTTATAATTTGTTTTCAATTATTATTTACTTTCATGTTTGAAGAATACAACTTTATATATTGTAACCCTTTGTAAAGGAAGCTGTTTCACTATATCAAATTACTTTTGGAAATAAAAGACAACTAATTAAAGAATATATTAAAAAGATAACAGTAATAATGTAATACTAATAACATCATTAAATCCAATACAAACTATGTTTATAATTGAGTTCTTAGTGGATATTTGTGTAATGCTGGAGTACATTATGTTGAGGTAATTCTACTATTCTGCCCCTCAGATGTAAATGCCATAGATGTGAAGGTAAACTTCTGTTGTTGCAATGTTGAGGTAGAATGAAGGAGTCTGGAACCGTTGTTAGCCAAGAGCACTGAAGAGTTTTATTGATCACAGTACAGACAATAACGGCCGGGGAGATCATCTAAGTTTCACACATGCCCAGTGCTCCACCAGCGATCTCTCTGAACCAAAAGACACAAAACATCTAACCAACACGAGGAGAGGCGGGCTTCCAGAAAGCCCGCGTATAATCAATTAGCCGATGCAAGACAATGATCTGCTTGTCTCAAAGAGATGCTGCCAGGTCAACCCTCGGACATAGGAGACGCGTTTGACCTGTGACCTCAACCTACAGAGAAGTCTCTGACTGACTACAAGCAGATGTTTGCAGTATCACAGACTCTAAGGAACCATAAAAGACTCTATAAACAGATCAGATGAAAATATTCTCTTACAGATTCACTCTTTTTATCAATCTATTGATAACCAATTAACATTAGTCTAAGAATATTTCAGTCAATACTTAAAATCAATAGGCGTCCTCAGAGTTGGGTGGGCTCAGATACATTCATTACATTAAAAATAGAACAAGATTGAAAAGCACTTCAATCACCATGATTGAACACAGTCAATCATAATAAAAATCATCTCTCTTCAGTGCTTGGCATTTTTGTCAAAAGGTACAATAATAAACACATGGGGTACAAAATATTATAGCAAAATATATGTTTAAAAAATAAGATCTTTTATCATTTATCACTCAGTTAATCTCATTCATCAAACACAGATTCTAAATCAGCTTACATCTTAAAGATTTACTTTAAGGCAATTACTTATTAAAAAACACAATTAGGATTATAAGAAATCAATTGAGGTATAATTTAGGATTATGAGAAATCCAATTGAGGTATAAATCAGAATCATGAGAGATCCAGCTAAGGTTCCTAGTTTAAGGTATAAATTCGCAGTGATGAATCGATCAATCTGTAAACTGTAAAGTTACAGTGTCCTCAATCTTTAACATTACTTTACGTTTACTTCATTACGCTTTATTCAAGAGTAAGGCACTTAGTAATACATTTATTTCATTCAAATACACTTGTTCAAAATCTGAAAAGGAAAATCAGACATTTTATTTGTATCACAACCTGCAAAGGAAAAATCAGACATTTGTCCTTTAATCCAGTGTATCAACTGTAATCATTTATCAAAACATCTGTTCTTTATTCAGAATATCAACTTTAAAACAACATCTCAATCGCTGAATGGAGGTACCCACGGGTCGGAGATCACGATGGAGACCCAGGGGTCCGGAAGCTCGGCATTGTACATTAATATTGTGTCCTGTACAGTCGAATGTCCAACTAGCCTTTGTGGGGCCTGGAGGGCAGTCTTGGCAACCCTTCGTATGGCTAATTTAACTACAGTGATCAAACAGATCACTAGGATTAGCACAACCAAGATAAACACTGAAACAGTAACAACAAATTTAACCAGCCCCGCTCCCCAAGATCCAAAAGTTCCACTTAATTCCCCAAATGTAAACCCATGAGTTTCATGCAATTCTTTTATTCCCCTGGCAGTATCATGAGCCATGTCCATAACTTCAGGTGTGGCATCAGATATGAAAGAACAGCACTCACTTCCTATCACCTTGCATGTTCCTCCTTGGGCAGCTAAGAGGAGGTCAAGCGCCATACGATTCTGTAGTGCTACTGTCCTAACTTCCTGCAATTCTTTGTGTTCATCTAACATCGCTGTGTTGGATACATTTAAATGATGTTCTACCACTTTAGACAATGAGACAATTTCCTGCTGAGTAACATAAATACCGTACCAAGGCAAGAATAGGCTAGCTATCTGTTGTCCTTGTGTAATTGACCTGCTGTTCCTGTGTAGAGAGGGAAGTATTGCTGCAATCTCAGTAGCCTCTACTTTACGGATTAAAGGGATTAGGTAGGCTAGATAACAGGTACCATAAAAAACATCATATGGCACACAGCCGTACGCGCGATCCCCACAAACTAAGTAAACTCTCTGTGGGAGGGGAATTCTGGCTATATGTACTCTCACTATGGCATTACAGTCGCTGTGTCCCACATCAGGAGAGGTGTGAGATCCTACTGCATTCTGGAAACAGATGGACACATTCTTCCATTCATGTACAACAATTGGGGGAACATATACTGAGCAGTCACGTGTAGGGGGCTTGCCTAAGGGTATTGGCTGCGTACAGTCATGTATTTTAACCTCAACGGAGTCCACTGTCCTAGAGCCGAACCAGGGCACCACTGTTACCAACGCTTCCACTAACAAAGCGGGTGTGTGTGGTTGCATTGTACATGTTGGACTTGTAAAGTTAGCTGAACAATTAGTCTGAGCTAGAGCTAACTGGAATCTATATTCAAAAGCTAGGTTAACGTATTTCTTCATATATATTAATTTTAAAAACATCAAACGTTTGAAACCGTCAGGCAGGTAATCTTTATTTACTGTATCAACAATGAGAGAGACTAAGCCCTTGTACTGTAAAGGTTTTTCAGAGTCTATTGGGTAGGAAGGAGTGTAACAATCCCCAGCCTCATCGCTAATTCTAGATGCTATGTCATTCCAGTTTACTAAACCGTAATCAGCTTTTGTGAAAGGAATTGGGCTAAACATAGGAGAATGCATTGATTCTGGCATATTTTGGCACAACCAACAGTTGCTAACATTACGTTCATGTGCATAGTCTAACATTAAACTTACTGCAGAATTAGTTTTAGTTTGTTTATAAGGAGTAATTAAGGCCTTTTTTGAAGAATCTACCTCGCCTCCTGATTGTTTAAGTGGAGTAGATGGAACATTTGTTTTGCTATTTGGTCCAGTAACTGTGCATGCAGTATCACCTAGATTGGGAATGCGGTAATCTGGCTTCCGCACTGTACATTTTACCTCCTTCCTTATCAGTGCCTCGAACTGTTCTATCGTGCTACACCACAGTTCTGGGGGCATTTCTTCGATGGTTGTTAAGAACCATCCTTACCCCCTCTGGTGCGACCCTGAACCAAGAGTACTGGTTTTCTGGATATAACTCCCATGTTGAGTAAACTGAGAACACAGGAAACACAATAATACAGTTAGATGAGTCACATATTGAACTTGGGCAGTTAACGGCAATAGTCTCTGACTTATGATCAGGGAGGGAGACAATCCTCCTTATTCTCCCTCCTTTTCTCTCTCTTTGTGTCTCTTGCACCATACTGAGTGTCTGTGTGGTGTTTGGATACAACCTGTCCTTGTCGCTAGGCACTCCTTTGCCCGTTGGTGTTGTTTTGCCCTCAGGGTCTGGACCCTGAGTGGTCAAGTCGTCTGCGCTCTTAGATAAGAGTACCTTATTTTCTCCCTCAGATGGGCGAGGTCCCTCGCCACCTGTCGTTGGGATTGTCACAGCTTCATCTAGCAGGGCGTTCTTGGCCAGGTACAGTAAACCCAGAATGACGATGATGGTGACTGCCTTCACACGCCAGCATCCGGTAGAGGAGAGAGACGACATCTTGAAGCGTGAATCCACTCCGCTCTACCTTGTACTCTCAGGGCTGTTCTGGTCACTATTAATACCTGGAAAGGACCTTTCCACCTGGGAGACAAAGAATCTTTTTCAAGCGATTTGATTAGTACATTATCACCAATCTGAAAAGGGTGGGTGGGCTCCTCACCAGGCTGGGGGAGCCTGTCAGCCACCTGCCTGTGAAACTTTCTCAACATGTCAGTTAGATATTTGACATAGTTAGTCATGTAATCCTCTGTCCACAAAAGAGTGAGTCTGTGGGGCATTACTGGAGGACTAGATCCTGTGAACATTGGCCTTCCCATCAATACTTCGTGTGGGCTAAGCCCTGTCGTTGCATTTGGTGAGTTTCTGATTGAGCACAGAACTAGCGGCAGCGCGTCTACCCATTTTAGTCCTGTGGTCAACATTGTTTTAGTGAGTTTTTCCTTTATAGTCAAGTTCATTCTCTCAACCTGGCCTGAGCTCTGTGGATGATAGGGAACATGCAATTGCCATTTGAACCCTAACACTGTAGCTAGACTCTGGGTTATCTTAGAAATGAATGCTGGACCTCTGTCACTGTTAATCCCTGCTGGAACACCAAATCTAGGGACAACATCTTTGAGAAGACACTTTACAACTGTTCTGGCATCTTCTTTTCTGGTAGGGTAGGCCTCTACCCATTTGGAGAACTGGCACACTATTACCAAAAGATATTTGAATCCTTGGCATGGTGGCATGTGCGAAAAGTCAATTTGCATATTTACAAAGGGCCCCGAGGGGGGCGGTAAATGTTCATGCTGAACTGGACCTTTTCTTCTTCTTGTCTGCTGGCATATCATGCATCTATCTACAAGGGTCTGTATAGCTAGTGTAATGCCTGGAGCAAACCATTGTGACTTTATAATCCCATTCATCCCTCCTTTTCCTACATGTGATTTGCCATGTGCAACATGTGCCAAAACATGGAGGAATGAACGGGGACAGACCATCCGGCCGTCTGGGTGGAGCCACAAGCTGGACTCAGCGTCAAGTGTACAACCTCGTCTCAGCCATAAATCTTTCTCCCTAACATCAGCGCGGGCTTGCATGTCCGCTACATCATTAAAGGAAGGCAAACAAATGGTTTCTGCGGGTTGTGTCGAGGGGCATTGGAGCACCATAGAAGAGGAGGAAACTGCTGCTTGTTTAGCCGCGGTGTCGGCTAACGCATTTCCACGCGAAATAGGATCATTAGAATTTGTGTGAGCAGCACATTTAACTACTGCTAGCTGTGCAGGGAGCAGGATAGCGTCTAATAGCTCAGCTACTAACGCATGATGTTGAATAGGCTTACCAGCCGATGTTAAGAAACCGCGCATTTTCCACAAGACACCAAAATCATGGCACACACCAAATGCATACCTGGAGTCTGTGAAAATGGTTGCAACTCTACCTTCAGCCAAAATACACGCCCTGAGCAGAGCATACAACTCTGCAGCCTGAGCTGACGTGCCATTTGGCAAGGCCCGGCTTTCTAAAACTTCCCAGTCATTCACAACAGCATAGCCTGCTAAGTGTACTGTGTCAGACGGCCTGCTCGCAGACCCGTCTGTGTACAGAATCATATCTGAATTAGGGATAGGGGTTTGCAACATATCAGCTCTGGAGGAGGAAGACATGTCAATCGTTGTGACGCAGTCATGTGTTATTTCAAAATCTGGAATTGGCACCAGTGTAGCTGGGTTTAGGGGGGGGGAACGTTTAAGAGTGATGTGTGGACTTGAAAGAATTACAGCTTCATAACCAGATCGCCTTGCTGCCGTCATATGCTGAGTAGCAGAGGTGTTCAGAATATGCAAAACTGCATGTGGGACATGTACTACACAGTCACTGGCCAGTACAATGGGAGAGGATTGTTTTACCACTATCGCCACTGCGGCCACAGCCCGCAGGCATGAAGGCATACCAAGCACCACAGGGGAGAGTCGAGATGAGTAGTATGCAACAGGCCGGAAATTAGAGCCATGCTTCTGCACCAAGATGCCCGCTGCAAAGCCCCCCCTCTCATGGACGTGCAGGTGAAACGGCTGATGGTAGTCAGGGAGCCCCAGGGCAGGAGCAGATGTGAGGGCCTGCTTTAAGTCCTGAAAGGCAGTGTGCATGTCCTCAGACCACTGAACAATGTTAGGGGCAGCCTGCAGAGTGGCAGCACGCAGGACAGAATCCATCGCAGCATACTCAAAAATCCAGTGTCTGCAATAATTTGCCATGCCCAAGAAGGAAAGCATGTCCTTCTTTGTGGGAGGTGGTGGTACTTTGTTCAACAGACAAATCCTTGCTGGCGAGAGGAGACGGTGTCCATCCCTCAGAATGTGACCCAAATACGTGACCTCAGTCTGGCAGTATTGCAACTTGGCCAGGGATGCTCTGTGTCCGCATTCAGAAAGTCTTTTCATGAGCACAATGGAGTCGATGCGACAGGCGTCTTTATTGGGAGAAGCTAACAACAGGTCATCTGCGTACTGAAGCAAGGTACTACCTCCTGTCAGGACCAAAGTGTCCAGATCTCTCCTCACAGCTGCTGCGTACACAGTAGGCGACTCAACAAACCCCTGTGGGAGGCGCGTGTATGTGATTTGTTTACCTTTAAAAGTAAATGCAAACAGATACTGGCTGTCTGGATGCAGAGGAACAGAGAAAAATGCTGAACATAAATCAATCACTGTGTAGTACTTAGAGTCCGGGGGCAGAGAAGCTAAAATTGAATTGGTGTCCGGCACAATTGGAGCTGTCGGAATGACAATAGCATTAATAGCTTGCAAATCTTGGACAAAGCGCCACTCATCAGGGCGATTGTGTTTAGGTATGGGTAGAATTGGAGTATTACAGGGACTAGTTGTGTAAATTAACACACCCTGATCAAGCAAAGATTGGATGACTCCTTCAATCCCCAAAATGGCTCTATGGGGCAAATTGTACTGTCTGATAGCTGGCAATCTGGCATTGGCTTTAAGTGTTACTCGATGTGGAGGCGCTGAGGCAACAAAACCAACATGGTTCTTGTGTTTTGCCCATAATGCAGCCGGTACTTCTGAAAAATCTGAGGGGGGGGCCATACTCTGTGGGGGGGTTTGGTTGTAAATGAAGGAAAGTGCATTGTGGAAGAGCAATTGGCTCCGCGAGACGCAGCAGGAAATGCTCCCCTCCAAAGTTAATTACGTTAGGCGTGTGTGTGTGTGTGTGTGAAAAAAGTGAGGCTTCTAGCTGGGCCTGGCAGCGGGCTGCCATGGCCCCCACCTCTTTTGGGTTACTGCCTGGCGTAACAGCCACCGTTATGTAGGGGAGGCTTTCTTCAACTTGGAGAACCTGCTGGGGTGTTGTGAGTCTGATGGGTAAAACACATCCTTGTCGGGAAATGAACAAATATTGTTCACTTGTCAACCGATCTGATTTGTTGCAAAAACCTCTTACTGATTGCGCGTAGTCATCTGACGGATTAAAGGCTGCTGTGCAATGACAATTCAACACAGGTCGCATAAGAGACATTAAAGACGCACAAACCGGAGAAATGCTAGCAATCTTCTGAATCCCTGTTGTGGAGAAAACAGAAATCATATTGAAATCTGGAAATGACCAACAATACAGGTTGTCTCGCGATGATTGAATGAATTGGACTGCCTGATAGACCTTACTGTCAGGAATTGTCAAAAACAATCCGTCTGAAGTGCAATGTATTGTTGCCTGTAATTTACATAGTAAGTCCCTGCCCATTAAATTAATAGGACTTCCATCTGAAATAATGAAAGAGTGTTCCACGTTTGATCCATTAATTGAAACATTAGTGTTCTCTGAAATGGGTTCGGACATAGAAATTCCGGCAACACCGATGGTTGTGACAAATTTATTGGTTGCTTCACACACTTTCTCCTTAGTACGCACGGCAGACAAGGTGGCTCCGCTGTCAATCAAAATGTCTACAGCCGTACCACTAAAATCAACGGGCATAATTGGATCTTCACGCGGGTTATTGGAAAGGCGAATTGTTGTTGCTTGAATGGGTAAATACTGTGATTCTGACCCTATATCTTCTTGGCACCACTATCTTCTATTAAATCCACTTTGTTGAGCGTTCTGCCCCTGGTTCTGTCCGTCATAACGTGGAGACTGCATTAATGCCAGATGTCCGGACTGCTGGGGAAGGTTGGGGGGAAGTGCGGGCTGGGAGAAGGGGGGCTGGGTGAGGGGGGGCTGTGTGTGCTGCTGGACCCCCCACCGCTTACCACATTGTCCTGCCCAGTGATCGGTTTCTCCGCAAACATGACATGGCATCAACTTTTTGGGATTTTTGTTCTGTCTGCTCTTATTATGATAATCCTGTGATCTCCCCTGATTTTGATACTGCTGTGTGTGGTTTTGTCCCTGCGTTTGATAAGCCTGGGTGTTTTGAGGCAATTGTTGAAGCAGTTGTGAAATTCTGGGAGTAAGAAATATTTGGCTCCTATGCAACGCACGCATTGTGGCGATAGTCGCTTTCCAAGATTTAATTTGCCATTCGGGAGTCGACATCATGTAGGCCTGAGCCGTTTCTGGGATTAAATTATGTAACAAGGTCTGTATGGCAAACAAATCATTACCGTCTCTTTTAATTCCCGCATTATTATCCCACACTGTCATGAAACGCTGGATAAATTCTGGGACATTTTCCGCTGGGTCTTGTACACATGCCGTCACTTGTGAGAAATCTGTGTGAGTTTTAGCGCATGCTTTGATAGCCAATGCGGCGACGTTTTGTATCCACATGTCTCGCGTCTGTGTCGTGGGCCAGTCCCCTGCGGCTGTACACTCAGGAAATTTAAACTCGTCTCTGCACGTGGGCCAATCTGCCTTGTATGTTAAGATTATCAGCTGTTTAACATCATGAACCAAACAGTTATAAACTGAACCAATATTAGTCAACCATGACAGATACTCATCTGGACTTTTAGTGGGACTGGGAGCGTGGTTAGTGACATCAATGACCTCAGCGGGTGTCCAGGGTTTGCAAACTGGAACATCTCCTATCAGAATTTTCGGGGCGGTCACACTTTCTTCAGAATTATTATCCT